CAGAACTTTGGCGGAAAATTTACTTTTAGATGGGGGTAATTTATTGAGCAAAAGTATTTGGTTTCTCAATGGCTTGGGTCATATGACTTCTCCAATATGATTTTCCGTTTGCGGTTTACAGTCTCACAGTTTTAGATCTATAAAACTTTGTGCTTAGTTCTGCTTTTATGTGGAAGAAATAGATTTTCAAGTCTGAAGGCCTCATGAAAATTTTTTTCACAAAACTATTCTTTAATTTCTGGCAGTTGAAGTCGTTTTAACATAACTAATTTACTGCTCTAAGTACATACTCTACATCAGCTATGCTCGTATTTATGGAAATATCACCATTACTTATAACTCCTGCATCCTTGGCCCTAATATTCTTTTGTTTTTTAGATTAATGAAAAGTCAGAAAAGTCGAGAAGAGAGAAGAAGGTACGGAGAAGCAAAATGAATGCCAGCGCTAAATTTATGCTTTGATTGCCCTAGTAAACATTGTTTAAAATATAACTGGTCGTGGAAAAGGCTATGTGTTATGTCCCAATTCTTCTGTTCTCTTGTTCGCTAGTTTTACTTTTTTTTTTAAAATCTCTTCTGTTTCTTTGCTCTTCAGTTCTTTCTATGGTTGTTGATGTTGTTAATGTTTACTGTTGTTTTTGCGTAGAATTTATATCACGTTCGACAGAGACTTATAACTGCGAAATAAAAATTTTTTATGCTACTAATGCAAGTTGAGTATCACATTATTCCATTATATTTATCATTTACCCCTGCAGCAAATTACGCATTGTGTTTCTATTGTGCACTTTTCATTGTCGTCGCATTTCGTAAAGGTATTAGAAAAAAATTTTTCTAGTTATCTTGGTATAAAGTTCCTTTAGTTCTCGCTGATTTAAGCAGCAAAATTCCTAGTTTTTTCTTTCAGATAAGTCCGGAGTTCTTTACTGCAGAGTTCTTGAAGTTGTGGAAAAGCAGTGGGGTTTCGCTGCTGGGCTATTGTTTGCCAATGATTGTGATTGTCGATGATTTCTTTTCTTTCTTTTGCTATGGGACAGTGGGGGGTCTTGGTGTCCGCCTTTCTCCTGGCAAGGGTCTTGTAGTTTGTTGTAATCAAAAGAGTGTTCTCTCGGTGCAAGTTGCGGACATTTTAGACTGACAAGATTGCACCTCAGATTAAGAATTCAGGAGGTACTGACCTATAACAGTCCCTGAGACATTAAGAGAGCGAGACTGTTTGTATGGGAGAATGCTGTTTACGTCTGCTCAGTTGGTGTTTTTTCCTTTTCCTCTTTCTGTTTGAGATTTTAGGTTATTTCGGTTTGATTTATGGGAACAATTTTCTGTGAGCTTAGTGTTATTGGAGTTGTCCAAACACTGTATATGTACAATGTATTAATAGTTTATGTGGTATTGAACCGTATGATGTAGAAAAAAATTGATCAACAAAAAAAGCCGTTGATGTTGTGGTACAATAATAAACACTGGCATGTATTGAATTTGTTGAAATCAACATTCAGCATAGATAATGGATGTATATCAGGCTCGTCTTACCGCTTGTTACCATTACAGCTTCTATTAATATTCCGTAAGTTAGACTGGAGCTTTTAACTGTCAGTTTAGCAATATACTATTTGTTATTTCCTTGTTAAGGCAAAATTAGTGAATGCAATCAAATGAGACAGAAACGAAAGAACAACGAAAATATCAACGACAGTTGTAGCAAGGTTAATTTAAAAAATAATAACCGTCTCTAGTGTAGAAATTGCTTCCAAAATTTTAATTTTGTTCAGGCTTTTCAGTTTTTGCTTTGATTACAGAAAGAAGCTCCAGAAATTTGTTCATTGGTGTCATCTTTAGCAAGATCGAGTTTGATTTGTTCAAAGTGCGGTGTGGTAATGCTTATTAGATTCTTTATTTAAAAAATTAAAATGAATGTTGATTTAATACGGTACGTTAAAGTTCAGATACATTTTATTGATTTGCACCTTTTGAACAAACATTTACTTAATTTCTCAACTTGGGGTTTTTTTGCAACTTTTTAGTTTATTATAGGAGGTTGAAGATGTATATCCAGTTAGAAGAATACATGTTCTTAAGAATCACTGTAGTAGTGAAGATGATGCAGAAATAATGGACATTCTTGGCGAACAGATGAAAATTTGTTTCCCATCTGCATTTCCAATATATGAAAATGAAGTAAGAAACATGGCCCTCTGGGTTTTTTTATGGTGCAATTCAATGTTTCTTGGTCATTTTTAATGATTTTTGTGCCTTTTTCTTTATTATTCAACCTTTAAATACAGCTTTTAGTTGAGATGTGCAAAAATACTGTCCGTATCACTTAATCTTCTTTGACATATTAAGAACTGGTTTACATTTTTCCTGATCTCTTTTTTATTTTCCTATTTATTGCAGTATCAATGAATTGGTAACTTTTACTTCGTAATTTTATAAATATCTACTTATTTCCTTTAGTGTGCATACTGCGGAAGGCGGATAAGTTTTGTAAGCCGACGAGACCATGTGCTACATAAGCATTTCAATAAGCTATACAGTTGCGTGGTTAAGCCGTGCGCTTTAAAGTACAAGAACTTTGCAGACCTGAAAAACCATATTGTGGTTAGCCATCTGCAGCGACATTAATATTAATACATTTAAACTGTTTCGCAGTCTTGAATATGTTGCTTTAAGAGGCGGAAAAATTAAACAGGAAAGAAAACACATGTTAGGGTTGAAATTGCACACTTTTTTTTTTTGAATACAACTTTTATGACAGCAGTTCCACGGCTGTTCCTGAACTGCTAACTTAGTATGGAAATAAGTTTTTTTTTTTTTTTCAGTTAGACCACGGCGTATCAGATATTTCTTATACAGTAAGTGACACAGCAATTTGGAAATGCGTTCACGAAATGCGGAATGACTATTTCAGTTCTTTGAAAGATCAAGTAAACTTGACATTTTCGTATTGCTACATATATCCTCCTAGTTATTGTCCTGCTTTGAAAAAAATTATTATCTTTACCGTGAGGATAATCAGCTATAATCAGTAAGGCAGTGGGAAGCTTCTGGGACAAATCTGACTTTTTGTGTTTCGTCATTACTATCTGTTTCGTTGCCCCAGTTGCTGTTTAGTTCTGCAGTCAAGTTTTTTAGGTAAATGAATGTTTCCCGTACTTTACATCAGGAAAAAAGTTGCGCCTACTCAAATCCGATGATGATGACTGTTTGACGAGAGCTACTGCATGCGAAAAAGTTTCCTTTATTAGTGGCAATAAAAAAGTTTATACCCGTCGGGCGCGCTTGATTTCTTCAGCATCTTCATCAGCTTCGTCAGAATATGATTCTGACGGTGACATGCGAGTTTTGGGAGATGTTGTCAGTGATCTGGCGAAGCCTCGGGAAGTAAACAGTGAAACCTTCACGGGAAGTGATAACAGTTCTGGTGGTGCTGCAGATGACAGCGGTTTGTACGCAAAATCTGAATCGTCTGTTTCAAAAGAGATAATCGAACTGAAGATAAATGAGGTCAATCTGTTTACTCTAGAAAAAAAAACACATATGTGCTGCTGATTTTCAAGATATTTCTTTTTCAATGGTTTTCAATAGATTACTTCTGTCCCATTAAGTAGTGCAATCAGCTTTTGACATCGGAAAGTGTTGCCCGGATTAAGAATGTAAAAGCTAATATATCTCCTTGGAATACAGTAATCTTTAGGAGAAATTGGTCGAGTCAGAAAAGGATAAGGAACGAGAAATTTGTTCAAAAGACATCATGACAGGTTGTAATGAGGAGAAAGAAGATCTTGTTTTTCCTCCTGATTTTGAAATTGCGGTCAGTTAGCGCTTAATATTTTTACCAGTTTTATAATTTGTTTGAGTTTTATTTATCTATTCAGAGTAGAATGTTTTTACGGCGCATTTGGAAAAATCTGTTTTCAGTAATTCAGCCAGTGGAATAAAAATCAGTTGAAAAGTGATTATTACTTCTTTCTAACTAGGGAAGCTGCAGTTTCAAGCAATTCAAATTCCTTTTAACTAGTTGGACACCTCAGTTTGGAAGCAAAAGAAACTAAAATTTAAACGAGAAAGATTTCATGCTTAAAATTTTCTATAGTAATATGAGAGGTTAAGGGCGCTCAGTGCAATAGCACCCGTGAAACAAAGCAGCAGTTTAAAGTAGGAAACAGTATTCTTGAGGAGAACAACGTGGCAGCACCTAATGATCTGTTGAATGTTCCTTTACCAGCTGACTTTACATCTATTAAAGAATTATCTTCTGTTGTCCCTGCCTGGCAGTCTTGCAATGTAACGGTGAATGGGATTTTAACTGTTTTCTTTGCTTATACCAGTAATGTTATACCAGTACAATGTTCTCAAATTTAAAGTTTGATATATAATTTTGTATTTCTTCAGTTCTGGTTTTCAGTTTTTACCTTTTTTATATTTATTGAATAACGTTCTTCAGTTCTTCTG